CAAGTTATCTGTTCAGCACCTCCCAGACAGTTCTGATACTTTGATAGTCTGTGGCTTCACTGTAAGGCAGACTGAGGGGTGTCAGCTGTCTGTGGGACTAGAATGAAAGCTGAGTAGCAGACCCTAGAGAATACACTATTTGTTATGTCCCTCAGAACCAAAGTGTTTGCCTGGAGCAAGCACCATGATGATGAATTTGCTATTCTTAGAGCTTTACTAGTAGCGTATGGAGGATCATTTTACCCAGAATTTAAATTCAAAGGGGAAATAGAAAATGAAAAGAGAAAATTCAAATTAGCTGACATTAAACTGGAAAATGGAAAGTCAAATTAAATTCCCTAATTGCAAAGTAGAAAATCTTCTACGTAAACACTTACCGTTTAAAAGGTGAATTTACATTTTTTGGGCTGAGTCTGTCTCAATACAATACTCACATTCTCATATATGCATTGAAAGAGCTGTTGTTGCTCTAATTGTTCTTTCTCATCCTTTTCATTGTAAGTAACGAATCTACAGTCCTCAGTCTATGCAGCAATGTGTTTCAAAGTTCACATGCTAATATATGAGTAGGTCAAATTAAGTGGGTATCTTCCAAAGTCAGAAGCAAAATTTTGATAGTGTTAGCACAGATTTATTTTTCAGTAGTGATTATTGACAGTTTTAAGGCTCTGACAAAGGAGGGTGTCCTGATGATGGAAGCATCAGATCAGAAAACACTTCTATGTATCCTATTATTGTAGAGGAGCCTGGACAAGGCAGAAACCTCTGAGGCTGGAAAATGAAGCATCAACATGGAGGTAGCCTACCAAAACCTGCAGTTCCCCTAATGACCACTAGAGTCTAACTCCAACAGTGAGTCACTTTACAGCAGAAATAAACATGTTTACAGCCTGGTACAAAAACAGTTTTGGTCTGTAGAGCTAATTTCCTCCTTCATGTCAACTGTTTATATAACTCACCTGTTTACATTTTATTGAAGACTAAAGTTATGGAGAATTGAGGGCGTGGCCTCTTTGAGTAACAAGTGGGTGAGTGTATGCTTGCACGTGTCAGCTCGGTTTATGCAGACATCCCTGGTAAAATTGTCCGATACTCTGGTTCATGACCAAATACTTGCAAAACTAATGGCATTCCCATCATCCTCAGCTGTAGTTTGCGTTTACTGCTAATTATTAAATGTTGGCATGCTAACATGCTAAACTGAGATGTATTAGCATTTGACTGCATCTCACTCACTTGTATGGTTGTAGAGTTCTATTTTCCTGCAGCTGCAAATCCATTGCTGGGGCAAATGCAGTTTTTATGCAGTTTTTCTTGGGCAAGTCTATTGGTCTGTCCGGACTGTTTGATCAATTCCTGGAACCAAACAAACGTGTTTGCCCTGAGGTGGGAGGAGAGGTGCAGCTGGGGCTCTGGGGATGCTGATTAGGTAGTGCAGTGCAATTTTGATGCTCATTTTGGCATGAAACTGCGTTTGCCTTAAACCCTGCTCAGCCTCTGTAAAATCAGACGCAGAGCAATTTTAGTGGTCTAGGTGGCAGAGCTAAGCACACAGAGGTTTCTGCAATTCAAAAACACCTTTCATTTATATAGAGTGTGACCGTTTCCTGTGCAATAATGCAGATGGCTATGTATAACAAATTACAATTTTATCGTGATTTAGGAAGATTCTTACCTATATCATCCACATGAGTCCAATCAAAAGAAACATTAGCAGGTCTGCTGATGGTGTGTTTGATGAGCAGTCTACAACAACTTGTAGAGTGTCTGATCTTTTCCGTGCAGCTGATTAAATACCTGTAGTCATCACACAGCAGCAGGGATGATACGTGTACAGGGTACAGCAGCAACTCTATTCATTATTTAAATCTCTCAATATGGTGGCAGGATCAGTGAGGAGGCAGGTAAATAAAGGTTCAGTGTTCTGAACATCACATGAGAAAGCTGCTTCTCACAGATACACATGTCTGTCCTCAGGAGGTCCTGAGCTCCATCAAAACTGTGCAGACAATTTTATTAAAAACTCTTTCTTCTGTGATGTCAGGAGGATTATCAGTGAGTTTTGTTTTGCCGCTTGCAGTCATGTTTCGAAGTGTTTGCAGCTGTGGCTCCTGCCCACGGAAGCAGATCCATCTATTATCCACTCATGATTCTTTCCTTAACTTTGTGTGTGTGTGTGTGTGTGTGGGGTGGGGTGGGGGTGTGTGTGTGTGTGTGTGTGTGTGTGTGTGTATGTGGTGTATGTGTGTGGGGGGGGGGGGGGACCCAATCTGTATAATGCATAATTTGCTTGAGTTGACAGTAAATGAAGTAATGAGGGATGACTTGGTAACTACTCAGCGGGATGTATCACTTCACAGAGTAATGTTTACCTGATCATTAACACATGAGTAGTTACTATTCTGTGCTGCTCAGTGTTGGGGTCAGAGTTAATCAGGAATAACTGATGAATCAAGTGGTCAGTATGTTCTTTCAGAGATACTGAATTTGGATCAGTCTAGTCTCTAGTAACTCATGATTATCTACTTCATTGTCCTGGTGTTGGAGTCATTAGGGACCTACTTATTAACGTCTTATCAACTAATGGGCCATTCCTGAATTCCTTAGTAACTTAAAACATAATATATAAAGTGTTTGTGGTTTTGTTTGTTTGTTTTATTTTTATGTTTTTTTTGTTTTTTTGTGTGTTTGTTTGCGTGTTTGAATCTCTGGAGCAGACTAATACCTGCCCTGCCCTGGTAAAGCTAAAGCTGAACCTGAACCGCAACTGCAGCTGTCTCTAAGTCCAGACCTGACCCACAGCTAACCACAGGCTCAGAGCTGGACGCTAGGCAGTGATGACTGGTGTGTAAATCAACATTTTCCCTCTTCAGCCAGCAAAGGTGTTTAAATCGGCATAAACAATTATTGTAAGTCTTCTTCACATTATTAAATACTCATTGTAAAAAGTGATATTTACATGTCTGTCTGTTGTTTTATTATAAAGCAGGTCTGGGTGCTCTACTAATACTGTGAAAGTATAAAAACACTCATAACACATAGAGATGCTCAGAAACTGCCACGCTCACAGCACGACCCAACCGGATCTACACTGTCCAACCTTTTTTTGTTGTTTTATTTGTATTAACTACACAAAGCCAAGTGTTCATTCTGCTGCTGAGCAAGATACAAGACTGGAAGCCAATGCATCATGGCACAGTCTGATATTAATATTACTTTCAGGAAGACTTATTTTTCCTGAAATACCGGAGCATTTTATTCAGACTTTGACCATCTGTCGGTTTATTTCAGCACTTACTTACCATCACCATTTGCATTTACTGGTGAGTTTTATCAAGCTACAGTAGTAGGCTACAATCCTGTGGTTGGCCTGGCCACATGTCACTAAGTGAAGTCAGACAATCAGAAGAGAGGCTCAGAAAGCGACACAGCCATGTTCTTACCAAAGCTCCAGAGAGATCAGCGAGAGAGGAGATGTAAAACGACATTGGTTCTTAAAGCCACAAATTTAGCTTCTTATGGATCAACACTCCAAACAAAACACATGAGAAGAAGAAAATATGGAACTTTAAATCGGTGCAGCCATGTGATGGCAACAGGACACATATGTTGATAAACCTGCACCTCCTGATATGAGCAATGCTGTATCAGCGCACGGCGCCATTATGCACGGCTGTCCATGGACTGGTCCATGATTACTCAGTATTCTGTTGTTGAAGTGGGAGATGGTGATCAGATGGAGATCACAGTGGCTCATCAGTCCTCTGTGTCGTTGCTTCCTTTTCAACTTTCTTTTTAGCATAACTTGTATCTCCTGTTTTATTCCTGAAATGCTTTAGTACAAATGCTGTTGTGTCACATTTTATGGTTCGATGTGACCATTGATGATGTGAGATACAGGAGAAATGAAACTGCATAGCTTCTGTAGCATCAGATTGATGTGGTCATGTAAACGATTTCATCAACAGTGATGCGACTGGCCAAGAGTGACGTCATTAGTCACCACAGCCTTCGATTCATATTCCACCTCAGTCCACCCTTTAGCTACACCTACATGAACCGAAACACCAACACCAAGTGCACCTGGAGACACCCACACAGTACATGAGCCCAAGACCTATTGCTTTGCACCTGGCATTAAGCCTGCACATTTAAAGAGGACCTAAAAGTTCAGTGTGCAGGATACTGTCCATGAGCACAAGGTGAAAGGTAATAAAGAAATGAAATACGTGACGCATGCAGACTGCAGAGGCAGAAGCAACCTTCATGGTTTCAGTGGATTATTATTTGTTTCCTTCTGCTCACACCAACTGGATGGCAGAGAGTAACACCGAAACACCCAAAACCTTGCGTATTTTACCCACACCTGGTACAGGTGTTTATCTTCATCAATTATTTAAAGCTCCAGACAAGACAAAGGTTTATGACTGCGTATGGATAAACCCAACAGCAACAGCTGTAATAGGACAAAACCCATACACAGTCATGAAGACTTTCTGCTCTGCTCCATTTTTTTTCCCTGTCTTCACAGTGGTCAGAGTGAAGAAGATGAGTCCTGTCTCTAATGACCACTAGAGTCTGGCTCCAACAGTGAGTCAGTCTCCATAGACTCCCATGTTAAAATGTCCAACTTTACAGCAGAAATAAACATGTTTACAGCCTGGTACAAAAAAAGTTTTGGTCTCTAATTTCCTCCTTCATGACAACTGTTTATATTATTCACCTGTTTACATTCTATTAAGAATTAAAGTTATGGAGAATTGGGGCGTGGCTGCTTTGAGTGACAGTTGGTTGAGCGTATGCTTAACAGAAGCCGGCATGCACCGAAATCTCGGCTCGACAGGTGCCACTCCTCTTTGCCCATTTTTGTATTAGCCGGGCGTTTGGTGGTGTCAAGTACTGGCAAGATGGCGATGGTGTAACGGCCCACTCTGAGCTTCAAAACCACTCTTCAGAAACCTGTGGGTGATGTCATGGAAGCTATGTCCATCTTTATTTACAGTCTATGATCATGAACTTCGACCACAACGCCCGCTGCAAGTCATGGCACAGGCCGGCCTTCTCATGCCTCTCCAGGACCTCCTGGACATCATCAAGATTCTCCAGCAGCAGCCCCTGACAACATGCTGGGTCCCTGTGGGTCCCAGAGGTGTCATCTAACCCCGATGACAGGCTCCGGTTGCACACAAAGAGCCCTTCTCTGGATCCATACGAGGATCCAGGTGTACCATAACTGCAGATTCTGGACCTCTATGAGGTTCCAGAGAAGAGGTCAAAGAGATTTATTTTCCTGCTAGCTAAGGTGATGTTTTTCATCAGATGCTGACTCCGCCCCCACCTTCCTACCTGCCTCACCGACCATGTCTACCAGTTTGACACTCAGACAGCAGCTGCCATTCATAATATCTCGCTGCTCTCCTCTCTCTCCTCCATCGCCGCTCAGCTCGGCCTGTCCCCTCTGAGCTAGTAAAGGATACTGGGAAGGCAACGGTGGCTATCCTCGCTCATTCTCCAGCCGCAGCAGTAGCGCAGTCAAGGATCATGACCTGTATGACATCATGTGGTTGAACGTGTCTCAGCAACCACAGCAGGGGTTTCTGGATGGCCTAGTCAGCTTCCTCCTTCATCAACAGGCGTCTGAGCGTTCAGAGTGAATGAGCAAAGACTGCACTGTGTGCTGCTTCAAGGTCTCAGCACTCTGAGTTCTAGGAGGACCACAGGGACTCGCACTCTAGATGTACCATAACCCCAGATTCTGAGTATAAGTGTCGCCCTCTAAGGGCCCTACTGGCAGCTGAAGATCTTAGGTCAGCTGCAGACCTGATTGGGGTCTTCATGACTGTGAATGTGTTAAGGAATAAACCCAATAGCTACAGCTCTTAGAGGGCAATGCCCATACTCAGTATGTAACCAAGGATTTAATCACAGCTGACCATGTGTATTTTTCTAAATACTAACTAATCACCAAAGGATATGAGGACTTTGTTTATGTTCACTGTACTTTTCACATATTCAGTGAATGAGGTTATTCAAATATTCAGAGAAGAAGAAGTTGTAGCGTACATACCTGGCCTGGCATCAGTCACAAGCCATTAAGGAAGTTCATTATAAGGACATGCAGAGTTACGGACCCACAATTGACACTTTGTGTCTCTTCCCACCATCAAACTATCAAATTGATAGGAAACAGAGACATAGGACCCCTGTTCCACAAACAGACCATGCTTTTAGCATGTCCGAACGACACAGAACCAGACCAAAGGTCAAAGGGTCAGCTCCAGAGGATCAACCAATGGACACCAGACACTGGAGAATATAGGCAAAATCTCCAGTTTGTAACAATAAGACTCTGTCTAATGATATTTGATTGTTTCTTATATAGAAAACAACAAAAGGTCTGATTAATATTAAAGTGTGAATCCTGGCCTGTCTGTGCCATGCATGAACACACACACCAACCTCCCTTCCTCTGTCCCTCTCTAGATAAGAGTCATAAACTACAACCCACATTCCAATCCTGGGTAGTGACCAGCAGAACTCTCTTCACAGACACAGATCTGAGGAAGAATGTAAAATTTCTCACTGTTCTGTAACTCATGAGATGTTCCTATGCATTAGTTTAATCCCAAACTTCTATCCCATAGAATGTTTGAAATGTAACATGTAGATTTTAAGACAATGTCCTTCCTGTGACCATACTGTCAGCATCCTTCACACGAGGTAACACACACTACATGACATCCAGCATGTCCATACTATTATTATTACAGTCAAAGAACTGCTGTGTAATCCACATTTATAGACTATTAGCTTTGGGAAATGTTTATATTGTTGTTTGATCAGTTAACCACTTGTATCATGATTAATTCCAGGTTTGAAGGATGTAATATGAAATCAACACTCCTATTACTCCTCTCTGCCATTATTAGTGCAAGTAGTTTTATATGTTATTTCATTTAATGTTTTGTGGTCATGGTGGAAGACGGATGTGCGAGTTTATAAGTAAACTATAGAATTAAATTATTCCAAAGTTCAGTGGAAAATTACTCTCTTCTCCAAGTGGAAACACAGGAGAAGATGGGTGAAACCCCTGAAACATGCGACAGCCCCCAGGGGATAAAACAGTCGTGATGAATTCACACATTGGTCACAAGGTCAGATGAGAAGTCAGATGAAGAGAGGTCAGAGAAGTCAGAAAAGCCAGAAAGGTTAGAAGTCAGAAATGTTAGAAACGCGAAAAAGTTAGAAACTCAGCGAGATGCTAAGAAGGAAGAAGATGCGAGAAGCGAGAAACGAAGCTAAAAGCTAGAGGCTGAAAAGCTGAAGCTAGAAAACGATGCAGAAACTAGAAGCTGAGATCTTTGCTCAAAGCTCAGAGTCCCGGCTCAAAGCCCGGCTCTGTAGCCATGTAAACTCTTAGCTCTAAGCTGCTAGCCACAAACTCATGGCTCTTAGTCATTTTTGCACTTTTCGCGTCTTTTATTTTTCTTTGCCACAAGCTCCAAGTAACATCATTTTTGTCTACATGCGCGATCTTTTATTTTTATAAGCCAAGTCAAGACCAACTGAACCAAAACAACAGAAGAGCCTCAGAGTAATTTTGTAACTTTTAATCATCATCAAGTTTTCCTTTTTGAAGATTTTGACAACTTTAGAGTCATCTGGTCAACGCCAGTGTCCTCTAAAGTTATCCAGCCAAAGTGAAGAGCATTAGAGTTTATTTCGCATCAACCCGCAAGAGACGCAGGCAGATAACATCTGCACGACCGCCTGCAGAGAAGCTGAGCAGAAATCAAGAGTTCCCGAGACAGAAAGTCTCCTGGCAAACTCCACCAGAGCTGAACCGCTGAGACACCGGCAGAATCCGTCATCGTGATAACGGGACACGGCCTCCAGGAGAATCCACCTAGATCCCGCGTCTCCAGGGTTACCACGGCAACCACAGCAACCACATAGTATAAATAAATACAGTAATATTTAATCATCAAACCTAATTCGTAGACGTAGCATCATTAGCTGTATAGCCATAGTGTATAGCCACAACATATTCTCTCCCACCATTGCCAACTCATCACACTGCTCATTTCATTATTATTTTCATCTTTATGATTATTACACCTTGCATTTACTCTGTAGACAGTAGTTTAGTTAATAAACTCCTTTATTTACACCCAGTTGTTGTCCTGTTGTATTCTTTTGACGTAGAGACTGGAGATCCATTGAATCGAGAAGTCACGGCTTCTGATATGAGATTGATAAATTTGGCAATGAAGTAATTCATTGTTGTCCTCCCAGAGGACTGGTGCCCCATTTCAACGAGAGTAAATTCTAAAATATGGCGTTAACGCTACAAAGTGCTGAGCTGAAATGTGTTAATAGATCTACATTGATTGTTTGCACAACTGTAATCAGCCGTGTTGTTGTACCATTGATAGCATGTTTGGGGTGATGGCTTTTTTTGATGAACTTTCTCTCTCTCTCTCGCAGACCTCAGCCTCCCTCTCTTTCTGCTGTTAATCTGGATGAAAGGAACACATGTAATTGTTCATTACTGAAGCTCAATGACTCTGCCTGCTTATTCTGTATTCCTCCTACCAATAATATATTCTGCCTCTCTTCCATATTGTGCCTGGCGGCTCCTGTGGTCATCAAAATTGCAAAAATTTGCTGGTCACGCCCATTTGTGTTTGCCCTGCACACTATTTCAGGAAAGTAGAGCCTGTAGTCTTGTTTCTGCCTTATTGTAACATTGCTTCTTACTAGTTCTACCCATTTCTCCTTGATCTTTGTTCTCCATGCTATTAAAGTACAAGATGACATTTGGATTCATATAGGAATATGGCACTGATACGACATCCATGTATGCTCCCAGTTTTCCGGATACTGTTGTTATACTTGTTTTAAGCACAGGATTTACAACTATTCAAGCTAACTGGACCATCACATGAAAACTGCGCTCTCCTGCATCAATCTGGTAGTCTCTCTTGTCTTATTGTAGGTGGTAATGAGGCCTGGAGCACATAGAGTTGGTGATTACAGGAGAAGGAGCTGAACACCGAAAGCCAGAGAAACCCTCACATTACACAACACGCAACACCAACACTTTGCTCCCTTTAGCCAAAATAATTATGTGAAATTGCAGGTTGTGGAAGTAGACTTTTTCTGTCATTGATTGCAGATGACAAATGTTTTCAGGGGGATTGGTTTATGTCATTTCCAGCACACAACACTCTCATTAAAGGCAAATCAGAGCAGTAACACAGACAAACCAGATGAGTCACGGCCATTGAAAATACAAAGTTTCACCCAAGCAAAATTCTTCAAATCAAACACGCACCTGCACTTTAAAGATGAGTACCTGCTATCTGCATGGTGGAAAATGTTAAAGGGATATATCAAATACGGAAATATTGAAGCTACAGAGCATGAAGCCCAGACCAATATATCATTTTACTGATACATTAGATGGAAAATGGCTTTTTGTGAACAATCACAGAAAATAATACGATGACTTGTCAGGTTCAGTTTGGGCCGTCTGTTGAACCGACACTCATCCTGCTTCATGTGGTCTGCTGTTCATTTTTCTGTCTCCATATTTGGTTCCACGTCGTCTCTGCTGCTGCGTTTTCGCTCTGCATCTCTCAGAGATCACTTCTCACTCACAGTCCAGAACTGGGACACCTTTGGCTTTGATGTGTTTCTGTTAATGAGGATGAATTTTAGTGACTGTGAAACTCCAATGCTTCTGTGTACTGTCAAGTGTCAAAAACAAGCGGTTTGGTGCCATTTCTTTCTTCTTTGACTTTTAATTAACTAAACAGATAAATAAATCCAAAACATCACGTCGACACCCAGACAGATTTACAGTCACACTGGGGGTGAACCAGACAGTTGATATACAAGATCTTATGGATGCACTGTATATGAGAGACAGTTTGGGTAAACACTTCAAAGAAACCAACTTATTGCATATGGAGAATTAAGTAGACACATTTTAAAATACTGGTCAAACTAGCAGAAGCAGCAGAGACTGTTTTAAAGTCCTTATATTCCTCTTCCTGTTGTGCATCGACTTTCAGTTCCACCGAGTCATTGAATTACCCTGCCTTAGGACCTGGAAGTGACTTAGTGTTAATATCTTTAAAGGTAAGTATAAAACCTACGTCTTCACACTACCCTTCGTTTTGAAAACTTATTCAATCTTTACTTCTATTTCATTATTTTATGTGCTCATGTTTCAAATGTCTATGTTCCCTGCTACCTGCTTTATTTGTTGTTATTATAAGTTACTTTACTTATACATTACATGTATATATCTAATGTTCATCAGTTTCAATAGGTTTCACTATTTGCATTTATACT